GCTTTCCCTTATACTTTCATGTTCATTTGATCACCATTTGGCTAAACTGTATGACTTATGGAATAGCTACAGCACTCTGCCAACTTGTGGATCCCACCTTGGGCTCATGAATGTCTAGGATATCTTAAGGCTTCTGTGATATTACTGGTAGTATTCTTTGCCACAGAAACAGAGCAATATCCAAGCTAGCGACAGTGGTGTAGCAAAGGATAACGGAGGTGTGGGTGTGTAATTGCCCTCGGGCGCCACGCTAGGGGGGCACCAATTTAGCTGCCAAAAGTTATGTTGTTTTAATGATTATTTCCTATTTTGTATATATTCCAACAGTTGACTTTGAAAAGGTTTCAGCAAAACCTTCAAAAAGTAAATAGGATGATAGTTATGTTATAGTATATTTTTTTTAATAGAAACTTGTGTTATTGAATGGAATTGACCTTTTCCAGTGGGGTAGGATACAGTTTTAATGCTCAAGGCTGTATAACCTCCTTGAAGCTCTGACAGAGCCCTGGCAAATCTGTGTGTGGAGAGACTCATGTAGTTTTAAAGAGAAATGCAAAGTGCTCCACTTAGGAAGGAACAATCAGTTCCATACATACACGATGGGAAGCGACTGTCTAGAAAGGAGCATGGCGGAAAGGGATCTAGGGGTCATAGTGGACCACAAGGTGAATATGAGTCAACAGTGTGATGCTGTTGCAAAAAAAGCAAATATGATTCTAGGTTGTATCAACAGGTGTGTTGTAAGCAAAACTCGCGAAGTCATTCTGCCGCTCTACTCTGCACTAGTTAGGCCTCAGCTGGAGTACTGTGTCCAGTTCTGGGCGCCACATTTCAAGAAAGATGTGGAGAAATTGGAAAGGGTACAGAGAAGAGCGACAAGAATGATTAAAGGTCTAGAGAACATGACCTATGAAGCCAGGCTTCATGAACTGGGCTTGTTTAGTTTGGAAAAAAGAAGATTAAGGGGGGACATGATAGCGGTTTTCAAATATCTATAAGGGTGTCACAAGGAGGAAGGAGAAAATTTGTTCCTCTTGGTTTCTGAGGACAGGACAAGGAGTAATGGGCTTAAAGTGCAGCAAGGGAGGTTTAGATTGGACATTAGGAAAAAATTCCTAACTGTCAGGGTGGTCAAATAGTGGAATAAATTGCCAAGGGAGGTGGTGGAATCTCCCTCTCTGGAGATATTTAAGAACAGGTTAGATAGACATCTGTCAGGGATGGTGTAGACAGAGCTTGGTCCTGCCTTGAGGGTGGGGGGCTGGACTCGATGACCTCTTGAGGTCCCTTCCAGTCCTATGATTCTATGAGTTTTCTCTCACGTGGAGTTCAATCATTATAATACATTACATTACAGCCAGGGCACTCAAACTTCACTGCACCGTGACCCCCTTCTAACAACAAAAATTACTACATGACTCCCTGGGGGAGGGGAGGAGAAAATACTGAAGCTGCCCAAGCCCCACAGCTTTGGGCAGCAGACCAAAGCCCAAGGACTCAGCCCCAAGCAGGGGGCCTATAATCTGAGCCCCGCCATCTAGGGCTTCTGCTTCAATCCCAAGCAGTGGGGCTCAGACTTCAGTCATAGGCCCTTGAAAAACTCAGCCAGTTCTGGTGACCCAATTAAAAAGGGGTATGGGTTCTGGAGTGGCCTAGTGGATAGCACGTGGCCTGGGGAGCTCAGGATCACACATTAAAATGGGGTCACAATGTTCCTTGTAAATTGTATGCTTGTGGACACTCAGGAGACATTCAAATGCTTCCCAGCTGATTATCAGAGTGCTCACTGCTAGGGCTTTTTTTGTGTTACTTCTGGTGGTGCACATTCACACATGCCTCAGTGCACATACAAATCATTCTGCACATGTCTGGAAAAGATGAGAGGGAATGTTGGTCCTGACCTATTTTGGGGTCCTGACCCACACTTTGAGAACTGCTGGATTAAAGGTATTTCTTTGATCATTGAGCTGAATGCTTAATCAACATGATAGTACACTTAAAGATGGGATATCTGTCACAAGTGAGATCCCTTCCATATTGAGGAGAACTGGTAATCCATAAAAGATTCCAGAATTGACATCCTTGTTCTACCTTAGGCCCTACCTCTTCTCCAATGCCCTGCCATCACTCACTCCATTCCCCCTCCCTCTGTGGCTCACTCACTCACCCACCCATTTTTACTGGGCTGGGGCATAGGGTTGGCGTGTAGGGGCTCTTGAGTGGAGACAGAAATGAAAGTTCAGGATGCGGGAGAGGGAGATCCAGGTTGTGGCATGGGGTTAAAGTGCAGCAGGGGTCTGGTAACTGGCTGTGGGTGCAGGCTTGGTGATGGGTCCAAGGATTAAGGGCTTGGGGAGCAGGAGTAAACTTTGGGTATGTGTGAGGGATTTGGAGTGTGTGGGGGTCTGGCATAAGGTAAAGGGTTGGGCTGTGGAAGAGGGTACAAGATCTGGGCTGGAAGTGTAGGCTTTGTGGCGGGGCCTGAAATGGGGGGTTCACAGTGGCAGGAGGCAGTGGCTTAGCCATGTTTCCCAGCTAACAGGAGCCACAGAGATGATGTTCAGGGCAGGGGCAATGCGCAGAGATGCTGTGGCCGCCCCTGCATCCAGGACCTGGAGGGACAAGCCACATGGAGATGGGCAGGGAGCCAGCCAGCCCCGTGTCCACCAGACTTTTAATAGTCCAATCAGTGGTGCTGGCTGAGGCTGTTGTGGTCCCTTTTTGACTGGGTGTTCAGGTCAAAAACCCAACACTTGGTAACCCTAGAAATCTAAATGAGCAACACAGTGATTAGGGAGAGCACCCTTTCTGGCTGTGATGACTTTGCTTGCCTCTGACCCAGAGCACTTTTTGGTGTGGTGCTTTCAACCATGCAAACAGGAGCAGTTTGAAGCCACCAGAACAATCATTTTTATTCAGGCCCTCTGATGGAGGGGTGGAGTGGGCAGTTGCCCCAGGGCCTGGTGATTCAAAAGGGCCCAGGGCTCCCAGCCACCATCACTAGTGGGGCAGCAGCAGCAGTCAGAGTCCTGGGCCCTTTAAATTGCTGCTGGAGCGCCATGCAGTGCATTCCAGGTGGCTCTAAGGGCACCCTGGAGGGCAGGGGATGTGGTGTGCCCCAGGTGGCACTGAAAGCTGCCTGCCCCCAGTTCTGCCTCTTCCAGGAGTGCAGAGCCACTCTCCCCCTTGGCCAGGGGCCCAGCAAGAATGTTGGCTCCCCCTGTTTTTATCTCTCTAAATCTTGTAGCCAAATGACAAATATTCATATTTAGATGTAGCTTTCCCACATCATTATCACGCTGGTGGAGCTCTCCCTCAGGTGGCCAGGGATACACAAGAACAAGAAATATGCAGTGGGGATGCTTTGCAGGGCAATGCTTAGTGAAGGATCATTACAAGATGTTACCATAAAGGACTGTGAAAGGCTTAAAAAAATTATAGGCAAAGGAGGTGCCTGGGAAAGCACATAAAACACCTCCCCCGTTTGTAGAGAAAATGAATTTAAAAATCTGTTCTCTTGGGCTTTCATTCCCCTTATTAGTCTGTGACTCTGGCTGTCTTGATATTACAGTGGACTACTAACGACGAGTGTTTCCAACTGTTCTAGCGACCTGATCCTGAACTCTGTTCTCAAGCAAAACTCCCATCTACTGCAGTAAAGTCAGAATTATGCCTAATAGCCAGAACCCAGTAAAACACTTACTAATGGGTGTAACTATAACTTAAAGGGGTCTGTGTTGCTAGAGCAGTTACAAAGTTTATATTCCAGGGCTGTGTCTATACTGCATCCCTTTTCCATAAAAGGGATGCAAATTAGACATATCGCAATTGCAAATGAAGCGTGGATTTAAATCCCCCCCCCCCCCCCCCCCTCTAATCTGGCTCGGAGCTTTGCCGGAAAAAAGCGCCAGTCTAGACGTGGATCTTTCGGAAAATAAAGCCTTTTCCGAAAGATCCCTTATCCCTCTTAAAATAAGAGGGGGGGATTTAAATCCCCACTTCATTTGCAATTGCAATATGTCTAATTTGCATCCCTTTTACGGAAAAGGGATGCAGTCTAGACACAGCTACTATGTCTACACAGCAGTGTTATTTTGGAATAACTGGCATTTTTCTGAAATAACAGCGTGTGTCTATACTGCAAACCAGTATAGGGATGAGTGCTCTTCCTTCGACTTCCTGAAGTGTAGACAATACTAAAAGCCAAATTAATCTATTTTGACTTAATCTAAGCAATTTATGTAGTTACTTAATTGCCAGATAGTCACCTAATGGCATTTCCAAAAGGGTCCAAGCAAGTTAGGTGCTTAATTCCCATTGAAATCAAGCTTTGAAAATCTGTACCTAAGGGCTTCCCTTCAGAATTTACAAGATGAAAACAAATTATCCAGGAGTAGAGAATGAGGAAAGGTCCCAAATTTTTGCACTGCCCTAGAATCTGATTTCTTAATATTACTGACAGTAAAGTTTCCTGTACACACTAAGGGTGCACCTACGCAGCACCCAAAACTCAAAATGAGATATTCAATTTGCACTGCACAAATTGCATAGCTTATTTCAAGTCTATTTCAAAATAGCTTATTTCGTCATTTGGTGCTGTATACACAGTGCCAAATTTCAAAATACAGTGCTATTTCAAGCTATCCCTTATTCCTCATACAATGAGGCTTACAGGGATGGTGAAATAGCGCATCAGCTATATACCTCTGATATCCTGAAATATCTTTGCTATGTAGACATACCCTAATAGTTTATGGCCAGAACTAGGACAGAAGATGGGAACTGTCCTTTCATGAAGATAAGTGTGACTACAGGAGGAAAAAAGTGATATTATATAATATTACCAAAAAAACCCAAACCCCACAACTCTCCATCAGAACTAAAAATAACTGCTTAAAAGTGAATTGAACTGAACTGAGTGGACATCAGCTTTGTCTAGTACATTACATGAAAGGAAGCAGGTGATGCAAACAGTGCCCTTCCCACTGTAGTAGGCTCACCTTATTAAGGCGTTCAAGAGTCTCTTTTAGCATCTGCTGATATTCACGTTCATTTCTGTACCTGCAAATAGAACAAAGAAGCTGAAGTCAGTTGGCTTATCACTTCATATACTGTGTCTCCATCTACAATATATTTTAGTATCAAAGCTTCACATTGAAGTTGGCTATGAATCGTGATTGAGTGCACAAGGTTTATTGATACATTAATCACAGATCTTTGGCTTCAGCTAGGGAGAGTAATGCTTGTTTTCATTAGGTCCCTGCAGTCTTTATATCAAACACACACAGTGAAATGGATGGACATTTGCCATGACTCTTCCAAAGAAAGTACAAAGCCAGTTCATGTCCAATCAGATGTCAGTTATTTATATCATACAAAGCTATATCAGACAACAATGCTCATCATTTAAAAGCCACCACAACAGCGACCAGACTCAACAGCAACACTATCACATTCTGCTAGTTACAGGAGATAACTGTGACAGCTCATCTGAGATAATCTTGCATAGTATAGTAACCACTGATACATGTAGATATTTTCTTTGTGCTCAGGGTAAATAATGTTGCAACTTGTGATGTACAGTTGATTTCAAAGCAAATTTCATCTGAGTAAGATGTGTAAAATCCTAATACATTTTGATTTCCTTGGAGTTTGAGTCTTCCTTTAGAATATTAACCACTATTTTATATTGTTCATAAACTCTAGTGCAGATTTTAATGAGCACATTATTTAACCTTGCCTGCTGAAACTAGAAAACACACAAACTTTTCTATGCCATTATAATACATGCCTATGCATCCACATACAAACACAGATATGTATGTGATATCTTTCTGATAGTAGAGAAAAAATGGAACATAGTATATGTTTTCTTTCTCTGAATTAAGAGGAACAAGGCATAAAAGGTTATATTTTGAGAATTTCAGCTTTGTATTGTAGTGTACACAGAGTTCTCCCACAAGGAGATTTTTCTCATGGAAACAAACAACAACCATCATCACCCTTAAAAGATGATTGATTGATTGTCGTTCTTTCTTTGGAGATGGCACAAAAGAATCCTATTGCAGATTATCTCCTCTGATCGTTAGGGAAAAGCAAGAGTGTAAATAAAATGCTTAACAGGAAAAGTAATATAATTAGATGGTGCAATTAAAAAAAAGACAATTAGAAACATGTTCCAATACTGAGCAACAAGATTTTATCATCCAATACTGAGCAAATTGCTCATCAAAGTCAGGCTGTTGCTGGTGGCTGATGAGTGAAATAGATACAGCTTGTCTGTTTATTTCTCACTCCCTGAAGTAATTTCTACTACAGACATAGAAAATGGCCTTCTTTTCATCATCTGCTTTAAACATTTTAAAATATGGTTAGTCATCCCAGGGAATATCTTCTCTTTATCCATAGAGTTGCTGTAACATAGGCTATGGTAGTGAACTTTTCCTCACACTGCCTGAGGCTTAATTTAGGAGGAAAACATCAAAGAGTCAGAAGAGAGTTCTCTCTCCCTAATAATTTAATCCTTCAGTTCTCTCAAAATCATCAGTTCTTTCCCGGTGAGTTGGTAGTTTCCAAGGCACCTTTCTAGTCACCAGGAAATTCCTTTCATTCAATGCTAGGTTCATTCTCTCCTGTGGAAGCCATCCCACTTTGTGTAGGATTCTTAAATATCCATTGGAGCACAGATTGGAATCTGAGTCTCCCAGAAAAGTGCACTAACCACTAGGCTATCGAATCCACTCCCAGAAAACACTATAGCTATGTGGTTAGGGCACTCACATGGGAGGGGGAAGAGTCTTCTCCCAGCAAGGCTTCATGGGAACTTGCACCTCCATCTTGGGTGAGTGCACTAACCACGTGGCCCTTGAGAATAAGGGACTCCTCCTTCTCAATGTTTCTTGAGGAAGACAGTTTCGGTTTAGGCATTTAACTCCAGGAAAGGGTTCACAGCTGCAGGGAATTCAAAAGCCTCCACAGGCTCCCAGGAAAGGTGGGGCCTCAGGCAGAAAGAGTGGGGCTTGGGGGCAGCCAGCCCTCCATGCTGCTGGGAACATGGCACCCCAAATCCCGTAGAACAGCACAGAGCGTGCGGTGTGGTGATCACACAGCTATTTAAGGGGCCCAGGGCCCCAGCCACCATTTCAGCTGCCCAAATGGAGGAAAGTACTTCCTCCTGCCCAGCCTAAGGTACCTAACTCCCTTTGAGGTTGGATCATAGCTCACACTCCTTTTCTGGACATTTCCCCCTGTCTAACTAAGGCAGCTCCCTGCTCAACATGCTGGCATCTGAGAATCACATTCTAAAGACTCCTAATTCTCCTTATGCTTCTAAAGTTGGGAGTCCAAGTACCTAACTCAGGTCTGAAGCTACTACTAGGTGGCAGGGTGACAGGAGTTAAGCCTCACATTGCTGAGCCCCTAGCTACCTACCATTTGTGGGTCAGCCCCAGTCACACAGGAAGTTAGTGGTGGAGCTTAGAGTTGAATGTAGGTTGCCTCATGTCCTAGACTGGAACCCAACAACTGGATCATTCTGTCTCCTTCTGAATTCCCCCACTCCACTCCCAGGGCGGGTAGCCTACAAGTGAGAAAGGGCTAAATAAGGCTCCTTACTCTCCTGAATAGTGTTGTAAGGGCAGGGCACAGTTCTATTATTAAGTGCCAGAAGGGAACTGGGAACTGGTAACAAACAACAACAAAGGTGCTTAGTTTCACTCAGGCTTCCATACATGCATGACTCTCTTCTGCTGAATTGCTGTTCTATAGCTTCCTAAAGCAGAGCTTGCCAGTCAACCACAATATCTGCCCAAATGTTCCCCAGTGCACCAGTAAAGCCATTCATTCTCTGAATTAAGACCATATTCCATATTCATTATGGAGCTTAATTAAATTGCTGACCTCAAACAATTTTTTTACACCTTGCAAATCTCTTCAATGTGCAGTTGACAACAAAGAGTTCATTAATTTGCATAAATTGATTCCAACAACTGGAAAAGAAAGAAGATGATCATAGCACCTTATGGAAAACCATACAGCCATGCTAGAAGGCTGCTCTCCCAGTAACATAATTCATGAAATTTAACAGAGATGAGGCTGACAGAGTCTGAATCCAGATCTCATCCCTACCACAATTCAGGGCTGCTTGGATGTGGGAGAGGATGAGATGTCTGCTTCTGGCTCATTGCATGAATTTCTAGATAGTCCCATTATCTGAAATATATTTAGCACCCATTTTGATCCTTGTCCTTTAGCTCAAATGCTAATGGCATAAGAAGGCAGTTACAACACACATATTGCATCATTCTCCTCCTCCTTGTGAGCATATGCCTTCCAAGGATAAAGCTTTACACTCAATGTACTGAGAGGTTTGAATGAACATCTTTGGGAGATATTTCAATCAATTCCCATTCTATTTTGCTCTTCTCTGTACACTAAATGACCTATGAGCCTTCTGAAAAGGTCTTTCACACAGACACATGGATATAACATGTTTAAAAACATGGTTACTGTGCTGGCTTTATACACTTGCTATCCTGCCAGGTTCTTAGGGTATTAATTGCTTTATAACACTCTTTATACAGTTCCCATAAGAAAGGCACTATACAAAACAAAATTCTATTATCTTCTCTCGAGTGATTTCTTCTACCTTGGAACCCAATTATGCAAAAAATGTGTATTGATAAAAAGTACATGAGAAACTGTGCTGCCAAAGTGCAATGACCAGTTGCTCATCCTCAAAGATGAACAAATCACAACCAACCCAAGATTTTCAATGTGACTAGTATTTTCTGTGCTGTTTTTAGTGCCCACCTGGAGGCCACCTTAAAGGGACCTGATTTTCAGAGGGCAGGAAATCAGCCCTTTCTGAAAACAGGCCCCTTTCAATTGCTTCCTGTTGGGAACCTAGAAAACTGTAACACCCCAAATCTCTAGTCACTTCTGAAAATCTTGAACAGAGAAAGGGTTAGTCATTGGCTGGTGTACCCATGCTGATTTAGTACTTATGTCTGAAGAGCTGAAACTGTAGGCCTAGCCGCAATGACCATTTCTTCGTTATTCAGGTTGGGATTATGGACATGTTCTCTCCCTAGGACTGACACAGGGAAATTTACAGGTGCTAAGCATGATTCAAAATGCAGTGTCTTGTCTCCTAAGTAGAACGGTAGCCAAGAAAATATCACAGCATTACTCAGCATTCAGCCACTCAGCACTGGACCCGGTTCATGCTACCTGCCTAAAAGTTGCCTTTTTCTTGGCTCACTCCAAGAATATTATAATCAGCAAGGAAAATGAAGGTACCTGGCGTGAAAGCTTGCCAGAGCTGGAGACAAAACATGTTCTGTAAAGGGTGTCCTTAGAGGAAATCTGAGGTACATGAGGTTAGGATGTCCCTATATCTCACTTTTTTATGGCACAATGAAGGACACATGTACTTACACAATCCCTTTCTCAGTAGAAACAGCAGTGCTTTGTCTGCTAAGTCCTTCTTCCTCAGAGGGACCATAACCAAAGAAAAGACAAACTATGGAATGCAAATCCTACCAGGATGATGTAAAAGCCTAAAATGTTTGCATTTCATCTCTCAGTACTGGTGGTTGGCAGAATAATTGTATACCTGACATAGCTTATAGTGCTTATCTCCAAGATAAGGACTGCTACTTGTGCTAACTAGAATAGGCCCAATCCTGATAGCCTCCTTTTTAGTTCTTCCAATACACACGTCTCATGAGGCAGTGTTACCTTGTGTAGTGGATGGCACCAGGGCCTTCCAGGATGCGTCTTGTGTATAAAGGCACCCTTCTTTCTGGTGCTGTCACATTGTGGGGTACAATCCAGACCCCTGTGGGGTTGTGTCATTAGCTGCCTTGTAACCTTGACTGCCTCAGAACACTCTATTGTGGTTCTCTTGTCTGGAGGCTTCCAGCCACCAGACAACCATGCATTGAATGTCTTTAAACAGCAATTCTGATTCCAGCAGCTGCTTGTTACACCCTTGTCCCCTTCTGACCTCCAGTAGCCTTGGTCACACCAAGCAAAATAACACATTTCCCCTCAGTCTT